CCCTAAAACCCCTAAACTTTAAAAACCTCGAAATGCCACCGAAGAGCGGCCGCTGAGACTGGAGAGCGGCTCCTCAGCCTGGCTTTCGGATTCCTTTTTCTTTGTTTTAGGGTTTAGGGCTTTTTGGGGGTTTAGGGTTTTAGGGTTTTAGGGGTTTAGGGTTTAGGGTTTCTTGGGGTTTAGGGTTTAGGGTTTTTTGGGGTTTAGGGGTTTAGGGGTTTATAGGGCTTAAGGGGTCTAAGGGTTGAGGGGTTTAGGGTTTAAGGATGTAGGGCTTTTGAGTTGGCCTTTGGTGGCTTATGGGTTTCATTGCTTGTTGTGTTTGCCTTTGGGTGGGAATCCGGGGGAGGCGTCTGAGTGCTTGTAAACCTGAGTTTGGGGTTAGGTTGGGCTAGAAGATTGAGGGTGGAGGCCTCTCAAGTGTTGGTTCTTCTGGGGCTGCTTTATGCTTGGGGCTTCAAGGCTTCGCCGATTGGGGTTTAAGCATTTGGGCTTAGGCTCCTTAGGCTTTAGGGTCTGTCTCTGGTTGACAGTCACCGGCCGGCAAACGCGAGCCACGCCTTCGGCCATTGCAGATCACCCGAATCCCAGGGCTCTGCAGGTAGGAGTTCGCAGAGGCTTGTGAACATGAAAAGCCACAAAACCTGAAACCGAGGGACCCGTTGCCCGAAAGTGCCGAGCGACGCGGATCCATCCGTCCTTCTCCGACTCCATATCGAGCAGAACAAAGCGTCCCACTCGAACTTCCTTGGCTTCGGAATTTCAGTAGTCGCAGGAGTCCTCCTCATCAGAAGGCTTTGGGCACAGTGTAGAAGCTAGTGACGCTATTCGGCTGAAGAATTAGTTTTCTGGTCTAGTTAATTTGCCTTGTCAGGTAGCTGGTTCGCAAGTGCCTGAGAAAGCTACTCTTGTTGCAGGCAGGGTTGCTGCAGTTGCTGTTGCAGTTTATGGCCACCACCGTAGCAGATGTGGTCGCAGGAGCAGGCGGCAGCTTTGTGGCCACAGTGGCGACATGAGCAGTCGCAGCCTTCATCACCATCAACACCATGCAACATCACCAACTATCAGCAGCAGCAACATCATCATCGTCGTCGTCCAAGTAGTAGCCGCAGTAGTAGTCGCAGCCTTTGCTGTAAGCAGCAGCAGCAGCAGCAGCAGCAGCAACAGATGGCGATCGTCACTCTCCCTGCTGCAAACGCTGGAAGGAAGCGCACATTCAGGGTCGGGCAGCTCCCACACTTGCTGCAAAGTAGCGCAACATGAAGTACAAGGGCACATACAAAACGCCAAACGAGGCCAAATCCAGGAAGGCTGCCTCCAAGTCCTGCCTCTAGGACTTTATGGTGCCAAACTAGCGGCCAGCTGGTCCGGCAGTTGGATCAGCCTTGGGCTGTGCAGAACCTTGGCAATGGAGGTCAGAAAGACTTCGTTTTCCTAGCTCCCAGCTGGCTGCAACCATTCCCCACCAAGCCTACAGCACCCAATGCAAGTCCTGGCACTTCACCTTGGGTTGGGTTGAAAGAACTCAAGATCGGAACGATGCGGTCATTATCATTCCGATGTTCCTGTGCGGCATCTTCTAACTGGGTCTTCTTCGTGGGCGGAGCCATGAAAGCCAAAGATGCACGCAGTAGCAGGACTTCCCCAAAAAGTAAAGGCACTGAGCATGGGCTGGCCATGCAACCCCGAACAATAACCAAAGCTCCAAAGCATTACAGTACCTGCTTGAAGGAGCAGGGAGACTTGGTCTGTCAGAAAAGGTTTTCGCATGAGGAAGGCACCTAATCCTGTTCTGAGTACCTGCAGCCCCGGTTAGGCTACTCGCACCCCTACACATAGTCAGCCACAAAACTGCAAGTTGATAGTGGCATGACTTCGCAACAGGTGGAACAAGTCGTCCTTGCCACAAAGCATAGGGGCAGCCCATTCGACAAACTAAAACGGCTCAGGGTCTTTTTAGCCCCAAACCCTACATCTCTGAACAAAACACGCTTAGAGCTATCCCTAAACCCTAAACCCTAAACCCTAAACCCTAAACCCTAAACCATGAATAAGCCCCAAGAATCCCTAAAACCACAAGCACTAAAACCCCAGGGCTCTCCTGCAAGCCCCAAACCCTAAACCCTAAAAGCCCTAAATTCTAAAATCCGAAAACCTTAAGTCCCTAAACCCCTAAAGATTAAAATCCTTGAGCCCCAACTCCCATTACCCTGTGTTTCGGAGCCTTTGCCCACACATAGCCGTGAAAGGCTATCTCGAGAAGGTCTGCCTGGGCTTCGCTCTCTTGCCTTGAGCTACCAACCTAGGATTTAGAGCTTGGGGTACCTTTTTGTAGCGTTTATGATCTGAAAGTACAAAAAAGTAGACTATGGTAGTTTACAAAAAAGAATTCTATGGTAGTTTAAGGTCAGGTTTAGGGATGTTGACGCTTACACCGGCAATGCCAGGCAGGACATTGCAGCACTCGCAACTGGCTTGGCGAGGATTCAGGTACGACGAAGCTCTTTGGCCAAGAGCAGCTAGCGGAACCAGGCGAGATACTTGGCGTTATAGGGATGTAAGGGTTTAGGGTTTGAACTTGTTTTGCGGATTTTACGGTTTATGGGCTCTCGCAACTCGAGGGTGGAGGTTTCAATTCATTTTGTGCGGAGCTTTAAGGATTAGGAATTTTAAAGTACACTACCCCGGCCAGGTGCTCGCAGCTGCACATGTCGATCTACGTAGAGCCTCCAACTTGCGACCATGTGCCGGAAGGTATCCCCAGCAGGTCGGATCTTCCAGGTCTTCGACGAAAGCCATGTTGCCCTGCGCTTGGCTGGGCCTGGACTTACAAGCAATTTCAGGTGTTCTTGTATATGACGCGCAAAGGTTTGAAGCTTTGTGGCTGCATGCATACATATATACCTATATGTATGTGTGTGTGCATGTATGTGTGTATGTGT